ATCAAAATGATATTAATTTTAAACTATCTATTATATTTTGTATAACCACCTAAGTGTAGCAAATCACTTCTTAATTTTCTATTTATAAACTAATTTAAGACTAGCTACTATTAGTTATAAAGGGGAAAAGAGGAAGCCCAGTCTTCCACTTTTAATGTATATAGTTTTAATATAAAAATGCTATTGATATTATATGAAAATTGTAATTGAACATTTTAAATATTTTTAGTAGAAACATATCCTTATTTCACTTAACTTTTATACCACACATACATATATACCACACTTAACATATATACTAAAAAGTCAAAACATAATAAAGAATTTAATGAACCTGAAGAAGTACTTAATCTTTCTACTAACTGCTGGATCAAATTTGATGAAAAGCTATACAAAAAGCTTTTACATAAAGGCTACAAATACACTAAAGATCTTTTACATTATTTAGAAGAAGTTCTACTGATAGATATTGGCGAATACAATATGATCTATCCCTTAGCTGATTTCTTTTATTCTGCTTTAATACTACCTCTCTCTATTTTAGCAAAAAGAGACATATATAAAAGATACTTGATTACTATAGTATCTGCTGTTGAAGGAGGAATGAATTTATTTACTATAGAAAAAAATAAGAAGATGTCTTTGGAAAACTTGATCGAGATGAATTATTCCAACTTATCTGTATTATTGAAAATATGCTAGCATGATAATAAAACAAAAGTGTGAAGAGACTAAAGTATGATGTCATAATTAGCTAATTATTACAATTATATTTATTATATATATTTTTACTAAGAGTTTTTTTTTTTTCTTTCGGCAATCCTGTTTACTTTATTATGAGAACAGACTATCATTCTTACATCAGTATACGAAGAAATTACAATCTATAAGTGTTCCAACCAAGGAGTAAACTCACCCCCGGCGTACTTTGCAGATGCCGAAACATCCACTTGTGGTCAGGGCGAACCATTAAACCGCTGTGTCTTGCCCAGATGTGACCTGCCTAGCAACACTTGGCCTCCTTCAGAGATCCAGAACTCACTCCGGACTTATTTCCTCCAGATTCATCGGCTGGCTGTTGCTCGCCCCGTCAAGATTCCCGCTCTACAATAGAATGCCGCCAAACTGATGACACTTTCTCGTAG